CAAGATAAATGATTGTTAAGAACAATATAAACAAGCTTTTTTGGAAATGAAGAAAGCTAAAAAGAAAGAAAGGGGGTGAGAAATACACAATATGTGTACTTGACAGCATAAAAACTCTACACACTCAACCAACCAACCTGGCTTTCTTCAGCCTTTGAGTGTACGTCCTCAACTCTGTGATACGGCAAGTGACAAATCTTTTTCTGGAAGATCTTATCATAGAATCATAGAATGTTTTGGGTTGGAAGGGACCCCTAGAAGTCATCTAGTCCAACCCCCCTGCAGTGAGCCGGGACACTGCTAACTAGATCAGGTTGCTCAGAGCCCCATCCAGCCTGTCCTTGAATGTTTCCAGGGATGGGGCCTCTGCTACCTCTCTGGGCAACCTGTTCCAGTGTTTCACCACCCTCATTGTAAAGAATTTCTTCCTTATATCTAGTCTAAACCTACCCTATTTTACTTTTAAAGACAGTGCTCCTGACTGACCAAAGGCTGTTTGTAGGAAGCGCCAGCCAGAGCAGACAGATTACTATTCATCAGCCTAGGAACAGACAAATTCACCTTTGCTGGATTGTGTAGTACACCTGTACCCTGAGAATTGGCTACAAAGGGGGTGAAACCAAGAGGGCACTTTAATCACCACTTGAGAAAATTAGATCATAATTTACTAAAACTGAGAAACCTTTTCTTTTAGACCAATATTTTGCTATGCCTGTACAGGTGGGACTCAGCTATTTATTTTATAGGTCTCCTATGCATCACGGGCATTGAATTTTACCGTTTCTCTTTTCTCTGAGGTTAAATGCTTTCTGACTAAAGCATTACTTGTATTAAGTAACAGAATTACTGTTACTACTTGTAGCAAGCCTAAAGCCTCCAGAGAGCCAACCTGCTTTTGTTTCTCTTCTTTATTGAGATAAGGTTATCCAAAAAGATTTGAGAATACCGCTATGTCACAATTGATAACACAGGGACATTTATCAGCTTAAACGGTGTACTGAGACCATGGGTCAGTCAGAAGGTGAGGCGTTAAAGATACTGCTAAGCTTTCGCTTCTTCCAAACCATAGTGACATCCTGACTCTACTCCCGCAGGTTATTGACTTGCTTTTGACAGTGGTGGGGCCAGAATTTTAGTAGGGTGCATCTTGTTAGGTGTGCTGTAAAAGTAATGCAGATAAGACTCTCCATGTGTTATCTTATATTCTATATAAAATTCTGCTTAGTTCAAGTATGTAGTGAACAAGATAGACTAGAGATGGCTAATCAGCATTCATGGAATTAATTTGAGGACAATTTTGGAATGAGAAGGAAGTTAATGACGTAAAGCTGCGTGTTTGGCAATGTGGGCTTCCTTTTCTATTTTTTTTGTACAATAGAACAACTGTCCACACTTAAAAAATATCGACCCTCACTGATCATACATCTTAACTGCTAATTTCTTTTGTTTCTCTCATTTAACCGTGTTAAGAAATTACAGAGAATGCTTTGTATTTTAGAAATCACACACAGTCGATTTACTCATTTGGGGGGAAGAGAAGAGGAGGCTGCAAAGGAAGACTCTGCTCAGCCTCATGGCAGACGGCTGCAGAGAGGAGCAGGCTCCTTGGACAGGGCAGGAAGGCTGTTTTGTTACCGCAGGGAAGAGGGAGGATGGGGTATGACCGTGGCTGGGACCACGTATCCTCTTACAGGAACCACTAATCTCACCTCTTCAAAACTTCTGTCTCAATCTGCATTAAAACCAACAGAATTTTAGTTTTAATGAAACCTTTAATGAAAAGTCTTACCAAAGAAAATGTCTTCCTTTGGCTTTCCTCCCATTTTACTAATTTATGTATTTAGAGCCAGACCATAAATCTTGATTTAACAGTTCAACTTAACACTACTAAATAGTACTCATTTAAAAGAATTCTCAATACATTCCAGGGTCTTTATGATTTTAAATAAAATCTGCTTTATATAGGAAGTCAGCACAATGTCTATGTACCATTTAAATCTTCAAATTAGGCCTTCAAGTGTTGTGATTTTCAGTATATGTTTTGCAGCACAATGTGTATTGTGAACACTTAATACCAAGAAAAGGAAATAATATATTAATGCATTTATTTTTAGAAAGCTGAAAAAAAGTTTTAACAAAAGCTGATGGCTAATCATGTGACTTCTGTATTTTAGTTTATATCTAAACCTTATATACAGGGGAAAAAAGATTCAAGCATTTTTTATCATATTTTTACTGTGATAGGTGAACTTTGTGTATCTACTGTAAATTTTGCTGCTATGCCAGGGGAAAAAACAAACAAACAACAAAACTAGCTTTTGCTAGTACAAATCAGAAATGATACTGTCAGACTTCAGACAGCATGGAACAGTAGCAAATACATTTATTGATTTAAATTCCTAAGTGGAATATAGAAATAAGAAGTTACATTTGATGTGGAAAAATGCAGGATCTTGACTGTCACTGAGAGATGTGCTTCTTGAGCACTTCTAAAGCAGTTCTGTGATTTCCTTGCAGGCTTTGTCATGCAGGTGATTAATGCTGCAGGAGGCAAGAAAGCTTAGGAAGTTCTCCAGTTAAAAAAATGTATTTCAATTCAATTGAGTTACACATAATTATGAGAATTAGTCTGAATTCTGGATATGAGGACGGGGAAACAGCAGTTGTGAAAATACTTTTTTTAAGGCATAAGAAATAGCTAAGATAAAAGCCATGCACAGAATACCTGTGCCATCGTGCCCCATAAAGGAGTACGTTCTGTCTGGTGCAACGGAGCAGTACTAAGTCATCTTCACCATCAACATCCCTGTGAAGCCTCACAGGATTTTTGGCCTGCTGAGTTTGTGGATAAAACTGACGTGTAAAGGGGTCCCCAGGAGTGAATGAAAGGTCAGTTTGTTGATACAGGGTTACGTGACTGCAGAAGGACTTGTGCAGCACAGGCAGAGATAGGTTTTCTTGGGAGGGGAAAGCTGCTTTTGAAATTAAAGTCGTCTTTTCAGTTTGGGTGTATTTCAAGTGTAAGGAGGACACAATGCTCAAGCTGTAGCCCAACAGAATAAATTTCCCCAAGGGGAGTGAAAAAGACAAATCATAAATAATTTTCAATATCTACCTCACATTTCAAAAGAATTGTTCATTTTCTTATGTTATGGTTACATATGAAAAGTACTGCGAACTTGTTAGATCTTGGCCATCGGCATACGTGTGCACGATGCATCTGCCTCAAGCCTGACAGAGCATTCCTTGCCACTCGGCAGCCTCCTCGTGTGCGTAGGGCTCAGAGGATGAGATCCTCCTAATGGAACACAGCCCAAAATGAGACAGGTTGCATAGATGGTCTTTATCCAGAAATACTTACCTGAACAAGCTTTGTGTTTTGTTTTTTTTTTTTCTCTCCTTTTCAAGAATTTCTCATCTGCATGGATTATAGGATTTTCCCCAAGGTTAATAATAAAGGCTATGTCTGCTCTGAAAACTTAAGCTCATGCTGGTATCCACTGTCAAAACCAGACGATTGAAATAACGAATGAGATTCACTTCCTCAGAATGTGTAAATGTCCCCAACTCAGAGTTAAACTTTCAACAGCTGAAAGACAATACCATTGACATGTACCTGGCACTAGTTACTCGGGTTTATTTTTTTCCTGGAAAGCTGTTTTGGGCGACAGAGTGGCGTCCGGGTTTCCCAGGTTGTTGTGCTGACAAACTGCAGTGGTGGTAAAGGCAGGGAGTCTGACAAAATCTCATTAATCATTTTAAATTAAATCCAACATTCCTCTCCAACTTTGCCAAGAAGAAAGCTAACTTTTACAAATGAATACCCTCTCTGAGAACTGGTATCCTGACCATGTTGCTTTCACATATATATGCTTGATTTCTGTCACGTACACATAATAAGCAGTATTTTTGAGCTTAAAAAATAATGCATTTGTTGGGTTGCTACAAATTGGAAAACTGCTTTTTGCCCCTTTTCTGTATTAGGTGCTATGGGTGAACTGCATATCTGAAAATGAGAGTCTCTTCATTCTTTCAATGCATTGTAGTTTTTTGCTTTTTTTAAGTTATAAAGCAAATACAGGAAGTTCCTTTCCAATGCAAGAAAAATTCACCTCGGGAATGGAAGTATTCTGTGCAAGTATTTTCTAATCCATCTCTTCTCTAAGCTTGTTTACATGAATAAGAAAGGAAGACTGCAAATTTACTAACATCATTGTCAGTAAAAGCACTGAAGTGATGAAGGAGCAATGCGATCTCTTTGAAGCTTTTTAATACATATTCATTTCTGTAACTAATCCTAGCTATCTGGTTATGATTTAATTACACACATTGAATGGTAAGTTAACTTTTAACATCTGATAAATAATATTAGAAGATCACATAAGATTTTATCTTACTAAAATCACTATTATATCTAGATTATAAAAGTTTGTGTATTATTTCTCTGGAAGGCAAAATGAAACCATAATGTGCCTATGGGAGACACAGGAAATCCTTTACGTCTGTCCTTTGTCCATTTTAATAGAGCTTTTGAGATCAGAGTGGTAGATTTTAAAATGGCAGAGAACAAGTCATTGGCTTATTAGTTTTGATACATGAAATATGTGAAAAGAAAAAAAATCAATCCCAATCCTCTGTAAGGCGAGTAAATCTGATTTTTCTAAATGCTTAATAGTTTTTTTGACATTTTAACATGATCAAGTAGGTATACCTCAGTTTTGCCCAAATACTTAAAATAATTCAATGCTTGTTTTCTAAAAACAGAACTATAAAAATACCAGATTGCACAAACCTTATACAGGGAACAAAACTATTACCACTTCAGGAAAGAGCAATTCCTGTTGATAAGTTTATCTAAAGAACATTAATAAGCTGCAGTATACGGACGAGGAAATAGTAACATTTATTTGCCCAGCTAGACAGTTTATTTTCCTAAATCTGTATTTTGAAACTGTTTATAATTTTTCTTTTTTTTTTGGGGGGGGGGGGGGGGGTTTCCTGAATGCGAATTTCTTGCACGTTTCAAAACTGACAAACGTGTCTCTAACTTACAGTTGTTTGGGCTTTTGTATGTTGAAGCAGCTTTGATTTATTTTAAAAAGCCAAAGCTGTATAAATCTGTTGTTTAGGGTATGAATGGAAAGTATTCAAGACAGAAATAGAGTTTCGAGAAAATGTAGAGTATCAGACACTGCCTGTAACTGAACCATGTGAATGTAATATATACTGTAGTCCTTGAATAAATGCAATGAGAGCCTTAGAATTCAATACAGGCAAAAATGAGCTGTATTATGTGACTCTTAACATGGACACAGGTACACTCATTTCCCCTGCATGAACAAAGAACAGTTGTCATTCTGTCACATCTGTGTATACTAAAGTTAGCAAAATTTCAGAAATGGCCATTCAGAACACAACTTCAGTGTCTTTCGGGACCAGAATAACTGGCACTTGCAGCGGGATGGGCTGCAGGCTCATCTCTTCCTTCAGTGCTGCGTGAAGGCAATATCACATGGACAAAGTTCAAAGGACATGCAGAGGTGGAATCATGGTAGCTGAGGAATCACTTTGCAGTGATGAGTATGATCATGCCCACGTCACTAGGGGTGGGATCCTCTGAGTCTTCTGAAGTGCTCGATCAAGTAGCTATTTCCACGTCACATAATTTGGTGACACCTGGATCAATGAAGTATCTATCATAATTTTCTTTTAAAATGTACGTGGCAACACTAATAGTGCATTGAAGAAGACACTGCCCAAAGTTTTTAGGGGGCTTTCGGAGGATGACTAAGAGAATTCAAACTTTATCTTTTTCACTTGTAAGAACATTGTCACTTCTGCTTAAGATTTATTTTCTTTTAAGATAGAAAATTGCCTAACTTCATGAAAAGTCTAGATTCTTAAAATGCCAAAAATTACTTCTACTCCACGCCAGAGACTCACACTTCAAAAGAAAAAAGGACAGGAGAAATGTCTATTGTCATTTTTTGTTTCTTGGTTACCGCTAAGGGAATTCACGCTTGGTGTGTTGTGTTTGCTGTTCCACTCTGAGTTAGTAATATAACGTACAGCGTGAGCTGGGTGCTAATCATCTAACACCATTCAAAATCCTACTGTGATGATCAGATGCTGTTATCTGCATGTGATTTGGTTGTTTGTTTTTTTTTTTTTTCCCCTTTTCCCCTGGACTTGTGTCTTACGGAAACCTTAACCATATCAGCCTGCTTCTAATTTCGCTTCTTGGCTGTTACACTAGCCTTGAAGATTTCTAAACCTTGTTAATAGATGTACTCATCTATTCCAGAAAACACACATTCTTGTCTGCCCAGAGGCTTTGTTCTGTATCTGTCTGAGGATGGGAATTGAGGGTAACTGGAAATTACGAGAAATGGAGATTAACAATTTGTACACTCTTATCGGTGCAAAATCAAAACCAGTATCACTAACGGCAATGCAGATACCAGTCAGAAGAGAATTAGGCCTCACTCTGCATTTGTGGTTTGAGAAGAAAACATTTCCTGGTAAGATTGGTTATAATTTCAAAATTCACTGAATTATTCTTTTTAAGTGTATAACTTCTGAAGAGTTTTCTAGAAAGCCATATTCTGCAGTCTTCATGTAAGATCACTTTAAGGAGCAGAGAGACACTTATCCTTTATTGTTGGTCTTACAGATTACGTTAAAAGTTTTCCAACTTTTTTTTTTTTTTGCCTGCAGGACCAAATACCTGTGCCTTAAGCAAAGCTCCTCAGCACACCGCATATGCTTTACTCATGTTTGAGATTAATTGACCACTGTGGAATGCATCCTTGGGCTTTCTGAAATATATGAAATGACACAGGGTGAAGTGAGAGGGGAGTGTGATATTGTAAAACCTGTCTGGAAGATAGCTGCAATACTGCTGGCTCCTGGCTTTGGCTGTGTGTGCTGCACAAACACAAATAGCATTTATACTTGATTAAAGGAAACGTAATAAAAAAAAAACCCACAAATTTTTCTGGCTGCATTCTTGCATGTGGACTAGAGCTATAACCAAAATGTACTGAACACTTGAAATACCAGCAGTAGCTACATTTTTCTCGCTGTCATTTACATAGCTCTCATGTGGACTGTCATTGTCATCACTCTTCTTGCATCCAAGACAAATGTAACACCTCCGAGGTGCCAAATGGAAAGCAGCAGTGTCGGCAAAGTGCATGCCTATGAGGAGTATGACCTGCATTCAATTCCTGGTTCTGCCATAGGCTTCCTACATAAAAAAATCAGATTAATCTGTAAAACAGAACTAAGAATATCTTCCTACCTCACCTCATGGCATGGTAGGGAAAAAGGATAAATCTGCTTGCTACCATGATGAATCCAGATGCTAGCAATAGCTGAATATTATGTAAACAAACATAATTAGGAACAGCTCTGATTTCAACTACATGTTATGTCAATTTAAGAAAAGCACTGCTCTATGAGTTATCTGAACAAAAACCAGGCAAATCCTTGTTCAATGCCTGCACACGCACGGCAGTTGCACTGCTAATACTCTACACACTTCAGAAAATGTAAGACACAACCTGACCGAAACCATTTTTGAAGTATTTTCATAAATCTAGAACTATTACAAAATCTAGCTACATGACAGATTTAGAAAGAGTAATTCAGTATCTGAGTCTGAAACGGCTTTCCAATCCTGCACAGTCACTGCTCTAATCTTGCACAGTCAGTTTTTAACAGCTTTAGCAATGAGTCATCTCGTATATATTTGCCTAGGCATTTCCATCATTGACACTTCCAGACTGAAGGAAGCAGTTGAAAGCAGCGACAAGTTAGCCGCCCCTACCATTTTCCCTGTTGAAATTTTTTCCTTGCTTACTGTGCTGAATAGATGACTGCAGTTGTCCTACGTCCCCAGTAACTACTGTCTGCAGTATAGGTTAGCTCTCTCTGTATAAACTGCACAGTTTCCCTTGGCTATCCCTGTGTGATATCAGGGTTCACCTAAACCAGAGGTTGTAATCTTTAAAATTGAGTGAATAGCAGATTGGCAATACGCTAATTCAAGTTAGTTAGTACAGTAGCAAATGTCAGCCTAGATATGTTACAAGTATTCTGTCATCTCCTAGAATAAACTTTAAGATAGTATTCAGACAAATGTTTCTCTAAGTTATGTACCTGAGGTAGCCCGCATTGTAAAAAAAATGCAAAAGAAAGAAGTACAATGCTATTTTTAAGAGATAAAAGGAGAAATTTTAGTTAAAATATTTTACAATAAAATAATTATGATTATAAATCTCTTTAGTTAAATATATACACATTACATGGTATTCTAAAAAGAATGAACTTATTAAAGTTTCAAGCAGATCTAATGCACAAATTCACCACTTTGTCAGCTTAGACTGTAATGTCAGTTTAACATTCGTAAATGGCTGTCAGACTAATGGCATTGTTTTGTGCAAAACTAAAAAAATTATGAAAACCAGATCTCCAAATCCTTCCGTTCCCACAGCAAATAGATAGAAAAGGTAGTTTACACATACACACACTTACACACACAAACTTTGATTGCATACAGAGGTTAGAATGACCAGCACTAAAATAACCCCCATCTCTACAAAATAATTAATTTCTTGAATTGATGTAGTTTTTGAAACTTACAAATTTTAAGTGCTAACAAATTGTGCTTTTAGGCAGCCACATGGCCAATAAGGTAGATGTTGTCATAAAGGTGCCCTACAAAATCTTCACTAATATTCTGTGCAGCCCGTCGTGTATTTCGGATGAATTCCCTCTTTGACATTTTGTTCTTCACGTGAGGGCTTGTTAGATCAATGGAAAGTAGAATCAAAGAGTAACACAGTACATAAACTGCATCTAGACAAGAGAGAAGAAATAAAAATAATTTAAAAAGGAAACTGTGATTATTAAAAATATTGTTCCCCGTCCAAGAACCTTACAGTCCTTATCTTCTGGGCTTGTAATTATCTATGTATACATACACATATGTAACAACTCAGAAGGGTATCCCAGTGAAATAATATTTCATATAGCAATTTTCAAAGTAATAATGTCAGCACAATGTCAAATAAGCATTTACAAATCTCTTGATACTTCTACATTATCCAAAAGTCACTAAGGGCTTTATGCATATTCATTTAAACAGATTCTTGAAGTTTTTGTAAACTAAGGCCAACATCCTGCTAAATCTTATCTTTAAATAGGTAAGCAGTCCCACTGCTAAAAACTGGCTCCCCCCCAACCAATTAGAAATGCTTGTTAACTTGAGTGAGGCCCAAAATTCCCTCTCATTTCTTTGGGTCTACCCACAAAGTAAAATGTTAAGTGTGTTAAGTCTTCGCAAGAAGGAACTTAGAGATAGTACAGAGCTTAAGCACAGACACAAGTGAAGGAAGGATAACACGAAAATAAAACCCACTTATCAGCTAGGTCTATGAAAAGAGTCTGTACGTTATTTTTGTTTTCTTTCAACCCGAGTGGGATGATGCCTGTACACTGACCCCTCCCCAAGCCATGCTTGTACTTTCAGAAATACTTGTTTAGGTGCTGATTTTAAAACTATCCCAAACAGTAGCATCATCCAGAAATATAAAGACTTATCCACTGAATCAAAGCTCTTTTTTGCTTACCAGGGCTAAGGCCAAGCTCTCTCATCAAATCAGGGTTACAAGCACAGAATCTGTGAGAGAACTTTGTTATGAGAGTCTCAAGGTACTCCCCACGCTCCTCAGGAGCATGAATGTGTCTGAAGAACTCTCTCAGTGCATTTGGCAAGAACTGATTTCTGAAGTTGTGCAGCGTCACGAGGTCATCCAAAACATCTCGCCTGGTAGAATAAAATCCCATGTAATTAGAGAAGTTTCTTTGAACTGCTTAAATATGAAAATGTAGGGTTTTTTTTTAAAAAAAGAAAGCTTTTGCATAGTTTTTTTGCTGAAAGACATTATCACTAGCAGCACAAAGATAATATAAACATGTGTTCTTCAGACACAATAGTAGTCAAATACTATAAAAATATACATTAATCAGAATTCTAAGTTTCTTAATATACATATTCAATCAGAGTCTACGTAAGAGGCCTCGCTTCCTTTAAACTGTCTGACAAAGCCATTAAAAAAGACAGTAAAAAGAATAGGTTCATGTGTCATGCATTTTGGTGCCCAAGTAGAAGCTGTTATAGGACTACCTTGTTAAAACCAGGCTTACGTTAGATAAAATTTGCTCACAAAAGCCCTTTAGAGTCCAAGTCCATCAGGGTGCAATTGTCTCAGGCGTTTTCCACTGAACACAGAAACATCTAAAGGATTCAGACTAGCCTGCATGAACAGATGTGCAAAAGACATCTGAAGGAAATTTGGAAGCAAATCTGAAGTGAACCAAAGAATATTCTGGTATGTTTCTCCTTTCTATTAAACATTTCAGTACTAAGAGGGAAATTTCAACATTTAGAAACCTAGTTTTTATTTTTAGTGCCTGATTACATTCTTTACAGAGGGAAGATGAATGGCAGCAGGGGCTGCTAATATTAACCTGCAATCTCATCTGCTAAATGTTTTTTTATTTTTTCTACTGCCAGAAAAATTGATATTCTGAGGTTTTACAGCACAGGACTGTCAGTGGTAATAACACTACAGAATGACTCCTTTTATTCCTTTAGGGGTACAGGCTGAGGAGGATAAGAAGCAGGAAAGGATTCCTGCTAGAAGCGCTGCTGTCCCTCTGCTCTTCCTATTTAGGCCCAGTTATTATTCTCCTCCTCTTTCAACTTTGCTTGAATGTGTTGCTGCTCCTCCTTCCTGATACTGCACTCCCCCAACCTGAAGGTAGCCTGGAGAGCAAGAGAAAGGATTGTGGGGGCTGAAGAGCATGCTACAGCAGGGAGAGTGTTCCCTACTGCAGCTCATGCTGTCTCCAAGAGGATGCTCTGTTGCATCTTGGGAGGCGAGCGTGCCTTCCAGTCAAGAAATATCAGACAACTAAATAATGGTTAGATGATTCAACATTAGTTAAAAAGCTATCATCACTTGGTGATAACTACTTTTTCTAATTAATACCCATGCTAGATAGAAAAAAAAAAAAAGAAGAAACCTCAAGTCAAAAAAAGCACCAATATATCTATAAAATCTGAATGTCATACAGCACAAAGATTACACTGTGTGGTTTAAATGCTCACTGTAACTTCAAACCAATTTATGCCCAGAACTGCAAAAATGCAGAAAAAGCACAGGATGGGAGATTTACTAGTTATAGGTGGTATTTGTAGGGGCTCTTATAAAGTGTTACAGTCACATAAATACTTGAACTGAGTAACTGTTCAGATTTAGCAGCAGCATTACTTAGTTGCATTTTCTTGCATTTTTACATCTTTAAAATTACATCTATACAATCAAAATATGCTGAATGGTGCTGTACATTGAAAATGAATAGGAAATGTCTCAGGAGAAATTCAGATTACCTTTCATCAAGGTAGATTCGCAGCTTCTTCCAATTTAGTGTTCTTGTGCAAAAGATAAACTTAGCTATTTCTTTCGGTGAATCATCTAGTATGCCCTTGGACATAAAGTAGTTGACTCCCTGAGATAAAAGACATGAATGTATAAATTTGTTTAATCTTCATAATGTGTTTAGGAACAAGTATTATACTTGGCAATGCAGGAACACAATCCTACTAATTAGTTGTTTTTCAGAATGATTCCTCTTCCTCTAAATCACATTTCAACATGCACAATACACACCAAAATTATAAATCAAATGCAAAGAAACAATTTACTGCTATGTTTGAGATTTTACATATATTCACAGTAGGAGATATAAAATTATGAACCCCATAACAAGCATGATGGTTCTTTAATAATTTCTTTACAGTGTAGACTAGTATTTTCATTTTCATACTTTCATAATTGCATTTAAAATGCTGTGGGGACCATAACTTTTAATTTCATAACTTTTGTAAAAACAAAATCTTAGCCATAATGTGTTCAGTCTTTAATATCTTTCATTAAAACATTAATGTTCTCACATGTATATGATGTATCACATTCAAATAGATGCATTAAATGCATTTGTTTGAATGTGTAATAATGCAAATAAACACAAGCACGCTGATTTCAAAGCATTGGTAAGTATCAACATATATAAATATGCATACACATAAATAAGAACACTGTGCCTAACATAAAAAAAAGTAGAACAATTGAGTATCTTTTATATTCACATTATGATTTCCAGAATTTTCCACACTTTGCCAAGCACACATTTCTTATAGAGTACACATGCCAAATTTAATTTTAAAATATTTCAGTGATATTCTGGATTCTTTCTGTTCATTGAAATATCCCAAAGCATAAAAATATTTTTCTTATGATCTCAGAAATCAAAACCAGCCTAATGGATTTAAAAAATGTTCACGTTTTTCAACACACAAATCTAAACTTGAGAATAATTAACCAACTAGTTTCAATTTAATTTGGTAGGGGCTGGGGGTCGTTCTGAGCATTTGTTACAATAAAGTGTTACAGTACTTAAGTATGGTATCTCTTGACTATACCATAATGCTGAAATAATATAAAATTGTAGGACAGTGCATTTCTGCATAGGATAATGTACCAAGGCCACAACCTTAATCACCTTTAAAATACTTCTGAAATCTTTTTTCATAAATCTCCTGATATCAGACTTCACAATATTTTGCAAGTCTGCTCTTTCAGTTTACATTGTATCTGTAAAGACATAGGGGCAACCTGTCATTCAGTGTATAAACTAACTTCCCAATGCTCTTAAAAATTTTGCCTAAAAAAGAAATAAAGGACTGAGTGCAGGTTTGGAAAGTTGTTTTATGAAGTGGATTAGTAAAGCAAAGTCTCAGTTATATCAAGCCAAAAAGAAATTAGAATATATGCTTAAGGTACTGATAACACAAGTGAAAAGCCAACAAACACCTTTACTATTATCTATCTTAGTATTATCAGTCCATAATTTTTGCTTATATATTTGTAGAAAACAGCAGTTAATCAGCATACTTTTTTTTTGTTAAAAGAATATTTTATAAAATAAATAAAATATAAAGGTTTTATACAGGTAAGACAAAAAAAAAATCCCTAGCAATTTTAGGCCCCGATTTTAAGAAGAATCTTTATTTAGAACCGTAGTGAAACATATATTGAACTATAAGCTTACATTTAAGTCCAAATTAGATCATATTTAAGTTTGTCCATAATATGGACAGACAAAATAAAGTTAAGTACTTTCTTGAATGAGAGCTAAATAGGAAACTAAAAATGGGAGATCAAAAAGAATGTCAACTGCATATTAATTCCTCAAGTATTTTGGCAGTTTACACAAGACTAGCAGCAGAACATCTCCTTTACATACATCCTGACTTAATGAGACTTACGCATTTGCTTCAGTCGTAAGTATTTGCTTAAGGTAATATA